ATGGCCTCTAAGTTAGAGTAGCATCTGACTCCATCAAAGGAGGTTAGCAGTTAAGTGAAATATCACAAGCCATAAAATATTCCTACATGGATAACCAGTTTCTTATGTTGAATTAGTTGGGATTTTTTGAGTACCAATTTGTTCAACATTTGGCAGTTAATTTGCTTTCTAAGAAAAACTCAAAAAGATTGGGAAATGCCTCCTTAGCCAAAGACAACAGCAATACTGTCCTTGTAGAGGGTACAAGGAAGACTTCAAGATGATGCCTTGCGGTGCTGGGATGTATACAGTCCAAAGGCCAAGTGTTCAAGAATTCAACTCCTAAACTTATAAAATCTTGCCTTAAATTTCAACTCAACTCCTAAAATTATAGAATCTTGCCTTAAATTTTCTTAGTGATATGGAATTTTACTATTCTTTTTAGAAACCTCCATTATAACATCCCAGAAAGATCATCTAACTTGTGGTTGAAGAAACAGTTTCTTATTTCACAAACCAGACCTTCCTGCTGTAAGATATAACCACAAGTCAGACCTCTGTTAATTAAATCCAAATCTTCCTGCAGTGTCATCTTTCCTTTGGTTCTAGTACTGCCCATAAGAGCAATGTAGAATATGACTCTGTGTCAGGTCATCTATTCTAACTTCCCCTAACTTCTCCAGAAAAAAAAAATCCTACTGTTTTTAATTATGTAGCTATGCTGCTTTCAACGTATATTTGTTGAATATTAGCTTGAACTTAAAACTTATGAGCTATTAAACAAATATGTGAAAATTCAGAATCCCAGGAGGAAACTGAACTGTTTCCATCCAATTGGGACAGATTGCTTGTAACAATCAGGGCAGGGAGATAATGGAAAATGAATCATACTGAAAGGCACATATGCCCTAAGTAAAAACATTCAATATAATATGACAATTGAAATCATAAATTTTGGAGCAATGATTACTGTAATATTTATCTGGTTCTTAGCAATGTCTTATAACGCATTATTCATAAACAACAACTGGTCCCATCTTAATGTCAGGTAATCTGGCAATTTGGTTTTTGATTCTGGAAAAGTATTAAATAAGAAGAGGTTTTTTTCAACAATGTGATTAAGATTGACAGGGTTTTAAAGCCTGTTTGGGCATAGAGGCAACTGAGAGACCAGGGATAGGATGCTGGAAAATTTTATAGGGAAAAAAAGGAAAAAAAACTTATAGGAAAAAAACAGCCTACAGCTGGTTCTGTATCAAGACTCTTAGATGTCTTGGGCTACAGAAAGTGTTAAAGAATCAGTAAACCATTTCTGCTTCTTAAATTTGAAGTTTTACACCCTAAAACTCTAGCCTAGAGTCTGACACAAAAATGTGTCTGTTGCCTACTCAGAGAAGATATCTGGGTCTCTTAGCCAAATCTAAATAAAATCTTAGCACATGTAACATAAGTTCACTATTTTAAAGAGACCATTGTAGCCAAAATACATTTTTTAAAAACACACATAAAACCTGTATCAGTGAGAAAAGTAGAAGTAGCCTTGTTTTTCAGTAACCACTAAGTTTTCCCCTTAACCACTATTATATGAGAAAAGAGATCATAGAATCTCAAAATGTGTTTTCTCATAGATCATCCTTAATTCTATCAGGGTTTATATCCCAAAATGGTATGTTTTCTGTCTCTGCAGTAAATTTTGTGAGCATTTAAGTTTTCTTCTACCTGCCTAGTTGACTTTGGTCTCTTTTTCATAACCTGAGATGTTTTCTGGGTAGGAGTGTGTGGGGGGTGCGCAGTAAGAGTCATCTATTCTTTATAAATCTTTTCTGTGATTTTCATATCTCATGAACAAACATATATGCTCTAATCTCCAGGTGATTAGAGCTATTCCATCTACCTAACCTGTCCTCATCTCTTCACTTCATTATCAGAAAACAAATTGTGACATTTGACTCTCTGATAAGTAGTAAAAGCAACATGATGGAGAGGTGAGCCCAGAGTGCAGATCTCTCCTGATAGGGACAGGGTCACATCATTTCACTATTTAGAGTTCTTTTAGTGAGGAGGTTTTTTTGCTTCCCCCTGAGGAACACGCTCTGATTGGTCTTCCTGAAGCAAAAAATGGAAATTAAAGGTGCTCTTGTTTAAGTAGGGATGAGAATGGAAGGAGTCTGCCGCATATCTCTCTGTGATCCATCTGTCTCTGAAGTAGAAATGGAAGTTTTATGGGACTAGGGGGTTGAAATTGGAGTTCTTTAAGGGAAAAGTATATGGGGATCCCTTGATTTTATTCTATTAATTGAAGGCTACTACTTGGCATGCAGTCCAAATCCAGCTCAAAACTTCTTCCTTATTGACAACATATTCAAATATCAGTATTTGATACTTAAAATTTTTATTTTCCATGGCCTTCTCCCCAAAAGAAAACCCACAAAAAATTTGTTATTCTCCAATACCGTCATCTTAACCACACTGATATCAGGCCCTGTCTGTGGCCCTTCCTCTTCTCATGTTTTAAAAGGTACCCTCTTTCAAACTTGTACAGTTTCTGTCACCACCAGTTTGAGGAGCTCTGAGTTCTGACCTCCTCCTCTACTCTTGTTCAAGCCAGGCTGAGAGGAAGATAGGAGGGCAGAAATGCTGGGCCCTGACTTCCAGTTCCAGACTGGGGTAGCTGTGAGGAAAGCCAGTCTTTCCAAATCCCAGCAGCAGGTGGGCACCACATTCTCCCTAAGCACTCCCCTTTGGGGATTACCATGGCACCATCTTCACCAGAAGCACAGCCTGCAGTTGTGAGGAGAGAGACCAAGGCTCTCCCTACCTCCTACTCCCACCCAATACTCAGAATTGGGATTCTGAGCCAGTCTTCATGGGTGATAATGGGAGGCCCTGCAGAGAGGAAGAGGATCTGAAGAAGGGGTGTCATGTACCTAGGTTCCTTTTCTGGTAGAAGCCAGAGACTGATTCTTCCCAACCACTTTTTCCTTCTACCCTGATAACTGGGAAGCAAAAATTACAAATTACTGTTTATCTTGTTGCCTAGAGCACATCAAGGACTGACACCCATCTCTCACTGTGGAAGCCAGAGGTTGTCTAAGGATGATTTCAGCACTAGGTTGACAGAGTCTTAAAACTAGGGAAGGGAGAAGGCAAGCAAACGACATCAGTGAAGAATTAGGCAAGGTGGAACCTTGCATTTGATCATAATTATCTAGCATGTGTGCCTGAAATTTGTAGAACTAAATATTTTATCTAAGTATAATCAATTTGTATATATTAAAAGCTGATACTTATCAGATGCATCAATATAAGTGTATTGATGCTCTACGATTGTTAGAATATAATAATTTCAATTCTGTTAGTCATTTAGCATAATGAAAATTACATTTCTGTAATATATAAGTAACCTTAACTAATTTAAGCATAGTAAAAAAGTAAGAATGTCGGGCTGGGGATGTGGCTCAAGTGGTAACGCGCTTGCCTGGCATGTGCCGGGTGCTGGGTTCAATCCTCAGTACCACATAAAAATAAAAAAATAAAGATGTTGTGTCCACCGAAAACTAAAAAATAAATATTAAAAAATTATCTCTCTCTTAAAAAAATAAGAATGCTTGATTCATTTACAGTCTCAAAGAAGCCAGTCACAGTGGTGTATGCCTTGTAATCTCAGTGACTGAGGAGGCTGAGGCAGAAGAATCAAGTGTTCAAGGCCAGCATTAGCAACTTAGTGAGCCTCTCAAAATAAAAAATAAAAAGGGCAGGGGATGTAGCTCAATGGTAAAGCATCCGTGGGTTCAATAACTAGAGACCCCTCTCCCCAACAAAAAAGTCTCAAAGATTCTGAGCAAGGTTTTCTCTATCTTATGTTTCTCAATTCCTTTGCTATCTAGGTTTACTCTTTATATATTGTAGCTTCAAAGAGTTAAATCTCATGTAAGTTTTCAGACTGCAGACTTTTTAAGCTCCAGTCTTTTCCCAGTTTAATTTTGCAGCTGGACTCTGGGTCTCAGCATCCTCATCTGTAATGTGAAGTAGTCAAGTGAAATGATCACTAAGGTCCCTTCAGGCATGAATTTTGCATTGACTAATTCATTGTAGAACACGATGAAAATAATGGTTCTTTTGTAGTTCTCTTGGGGCTGTTATTATTGCTGGGAATCATGCTGGACAGATGCAGGCATCACATGGAATGTGCGGAGAAGTGTAACTGAATAGTGGCCGTGTTTTGAGGTAGTGGCGGCTCAGTTCTTCAGAGTGAGAAAATGGCTTTTCGAGACATTTAATTAAGGAGAAACACGCCTGAAAAATGCAAAAAGGATGCATCCTGTAAATTTTTAAGTACGTGTGCTCTGCATACTTACAGTGCAAACTAGTTAGGAAGGGCAGTCCTGGCCTAGGCCTATTGTGGGCCTGGGGTCAAAGTTGGCTTGTAGCCTGAACCAGGGAGCCAGAATCTTTGGCTTAGAAAGGAAGGCTGCAGCGAGGCTGCTGGAGCTCACCTGAACAGGTACAGCGCCATGGCCGAGCACCTGTTCGCTCCAAGGGCCACGTGACTTCGAAGGGGCCTTGGGAACAGCACCTGCTTTAAACCAGTGCAGAGCGCAAGTGAAATCATAGCTCAAGTGGCTCCCAAAAGGGAACAGGGTAGTGAAGTGACTTGCTCACTCAGCTTTCATAATTTCTTGGGCGGTCTAGCTCCTGCTGGGGAAGTGGCAGCAGTACAGATAGTGTATTGAGGGTGGGTGTGAGCGCGGTGGCTGGGACCCACTGTCCCGCGCGCTCGGACCTAGTGCCTGCGGACTTCACCACGGCACCCCGCCGCCTCCCGGAACTCGCGTGCTGCCCGCAGAGGGCGTACGGGGGAGCGCGCGCCCCTTGGCTGCCACCTGCGGGGCCGGCCGGGAGCGGGGCGCGAACCCGTGACGAGCGCGCGGCGGGTGCGGCGGGTGCGGCGGCGGCGGCGGCAGGAGGAGGGGCCGGGAGCGCGACCGAAGGACGCCCCGTCCTCCAAACGCTGCCACTTGACTGAGCCCGGCGTTTGTGGGAAGGCGGCGCCACTGCCCGGCCACAGACTGCACTTTGCCCCTGCTCGGCCTCAGCGTCCGCGCGCCCTGACGCCAGCAAGCCCCCTCCCAAGAGCAGCGCCCGCTCGGGAGCTCGGGCACTGGCCCGGGCACGCAGCCCTCCGAGCGCCGGATGCCTCCAGGGCCCCCAGGGCGGTGCACACCTGCGATGGCCGCGCAGCTGCCCTGGTGATGTGTGGTGTAAGTGAACATCTGGGAGGTGGGTCCCCGGGGCGCGCGCGTGTCTGTCGGTCTGTGCTCAGTGTACAGTCTGTGTACAGTCTGTCAGCTGTACCCTATTGCTTTTTCAATGGCAGAAACCCATGAGTTACAGGAGGCTTTAATTAAATCAGATATTTCTCGGCCAACTGTGTTGGATTGAGCTTCACATTCTCAGTTCCCGAACTGCGGAGAGTTAGCCCCCACCCCTTTCATCTTGTTCTAAGCCCTCAATTAGAGGTATTTCTTTATGAGCTACAGTTTCACCTTCCTTCCCACCTGAAGAGTGAAGATGTTCGGGTAAAAGGTTTGTCCGTCAAATTTTTTTCGTATGTCAAGCTGTCAGGCTTGTGCTCTGAGTGGCATATGATGAGCAAAGTCTTAGCTCTTGTGCTCTTAGGAGCTGTGAGAGGCTGACTCTAGAGAAGAAATAATGCAATGAGAAAGCAAGCCGGTAAACTGGTTAGATCTTCAGCCATGAGCAAAGGAACTGAGGAGCAAAGCAGGGCAATGGGAGTTGCTTCCCTTGTGTCTGTTCTGACACTCCTCTCCCCATTCTTTATGGAAGTAGTTTAACATAAAATTATAAGCTAGTAATACTCATATCAAAGACTCCATCTTTTGGGGATTTGATGTATATAATGTTTCTCTTAGAGAGATTGTTAAATAAGAATTCATAGGAATACGGAATCTATTTCGTTATGACAAAGTATAAATCAAACCAAGATGAACACTTGGATAATCCTTTTTTTCCTTTGGATGAAATTGCTTTCTATTACCTGATCTAGCTATCATATATAAATGGGAAATTACATTGTTTAGGTATGGCAGAATGGTCTGGAAAAATAGTAACTTGAGTTTTTAACTTTGCCATCAAGCAAAATTACTTAGGCCCACAATCTTACAGCAAAAGGATACTTTAAAATCATAGACCATCCTCCAGTCCATTTTAATCTCCCTTTTGCAGCATTCCTGACAGACCAGCCACACTCCACTTCAGTGCCAGGGAGTTAAATATAATTTGAGGTATCTCTCCTGAAGGTTAGTATTAGCAAGACCTTGTTTACACCCAACAACTGCTTACTTGGACTTGTTTTTCATTAGTCTGACTTTTGCCAATAATCTTCCAACTTTTGAAATTATTTGAAGGCCTTTTTTATTTTTTTTTTGCAAAGATCTAAAATTTTCACCTAGAATCTGAAAAGGGTCCATGACCAAAAATAGTTAGGAAATAAAAGGTCTAAATTAAGATTTTTGTCTATTTGACAACCTTTCAGATCTCTGGGTCTTGGATCTATTATCTGCTAAATGGGAATGGTAATACACTCCATCTGCCCAGAGGATGGTTGTGAAGATGAAATTAAAGATGTAGATTAGGTGCCAAGAAGTCAGAAAATGTTATCTTTAATAGATGATCATTGTTTCCTTCCTTACCTAAGACCCTTCTTGTGCTAAAGATCCTTAGACCACAATGAAGTAAATAAGTCATTATTCAGAGTATAATGAATTCCCATCTTCAAATAAATACTCCAAAGTTGACTTAAAACCGAACCTCCACACTTGGCTATTAAGGTAGGCTTTATTAATTTTTAAACTGTGCAATAGAACATTTCTCAAATCTGAAATTTTTGTTCTGTTGGCTTATATTACTTTGAAACTCTCTCCAATCTCCACTCTGTTAGATATTTTTAGCCATGGTTGTGACATTCATCATATTAATTCTGGACATTCAGTGAGTTTATTCAGCAGACATTCAAGTCACTGATAACATATTGCTATGAAGGTGGCTCATCTAGAAGCCTACAGCATAGTAGAAATGGCCCTGGATTTTTGGAACCTGGTTTTGGAGTTTGTTCCTGAAATCTACTAGATTGATATCCTCGAGAAGCTTCTTTTCCATATCAGTAAAATGAAGTTAGTAACATTTGCCTTTCAGAGTGGTTGTGAAAATTCAGCATACTGAAAGTGCCAAATATAGTACTGGTTGGAGATATAGTTGCTTCTAAGTAGTAGATATTGTTGAAATTAATGAATCAGCTGAACTCAGCATTTTGACTTATTTTAATAAGTCAGTCAGTTATAGTTCATAAACTGTTCTAGTCCACAGACTGGTCTTGTCCATAAAGATATCATGAGAAAAATTTTAATCAAATGTCTTGCTAACAGTAAAGACCTTGGGTATTCCCTAATCTATAACAAAGACTTAATGATGTTAGTTTTAAAATGATTTTTAGTGAACTGCTAATTCTTGGATATCTCTAATCTCCATCCCCCCCCCCCGCCCCGAAAAGTATTGCCTATTTATCATTAAGTCTTGGAGTTTGCCAGAGATTGATGTCAGACTACTGGCATATAATGCTTAGGAATTCTCTTTTCTTCAATTCTGAGTATTACAAAATAAAAACACTTGGGATGAGAGGTTGTGTGTGTGACTCCAGCCTCTGGAGACCTCCTTCCTTCTCCAGGTTAGCTGTATCCTTGTGCTCACACCTGCAAATTCTCTTGCAACCTTGGAAATGAGTCACTAGAAGTCACCTGTTGGCTTTAAAGTGGCTGCTTCTGCTTGCACCTTAGTTCTCACTTAATGAGGTTTCTATCTTTTTCAGTTTGAAGCTCATTTGCTTTTAAAGCAGCAAAACAGCTGCTAAACAGTTCTGTTTTCTTTCTCTAATTAACTAATATACCATCTGCCTTTGGATTTGAGAATTCTTTAATGGGGGCCTGTTTTCCATAGCAAGAGTACAATGAACAATATGGACCAAATTGGTGGTAGAGAAAACTACTCAGGGTCCTATGATGTTTAAAGTTTTGATAAATAACTCTAATCATCTAATATGGGAAGAGCCTTGTATTTTAAGAATTAATTTATTCCTTAGGAGTGTTTCACAAGGGGCTGAAGGTAGCAAATTAGTGAAGCTGGATTGGTAATGTGCACAAGGGTGCAACAGAGGCCTGTGACTAGAGAGTGAAATGCCCAGCTCAGAGGAATCCTAATTCAGAGCACTTTAAACGTTGCACTAGCCACACAAAACACTGGTCCAAACATTATTGCAAGTTTATGGCTTTTCCATGTGAGCACTCTGGGAAAGGTAGAGCTGTGTGAAGTCGAGTGTTTTATTCCCAGTGTCTCACACACTGCATGCTCATGGATATTTGATAAATGGCCAAACAGTAATAAGTATTCATTAAGTGCCTTAATGTAGAGAACTGTTCTGTGCAAAATAAGAAAAAGCAACTCCTACTTGTGAGGAATATTTAATCTCATTTGGGAAGACAATATTTATAAAGTAATTGGTCTAGACACCAGTTCAAGAAGAGGATTCTAACAAAGGCTAGTAGAATTCTAGGAAGTTTGCATGGAGGAGATGGGGGTGTCCATATCTTTGAAGCTTGCTACTTTGGTTTAAGTAGGGAAGAAGGGAAAGGTGCTGGGTGGAGATAAGGGGGAGGTGGTGTTTCAGCTTAAGAAAGGGCTAGAAGGAGGAAATGAGCCTGAGTGTGGCAGGATTAGGTTGATTCGAGAGGACATTTCCTTGGATTAATGAGAAATCCAGTGGTAAAAGAATTTTTTAAACATGTTTAAATTAACTGTAACTTTCCTCCCCTGAAATACCGAACCATCAGCCATGGGCATAAAAATTGTAATAACTCCCTAGGAAAAAAGTATAGTATTATATGCATCATAAAGAAATTATTAAATTTTAAATAGCAAAATTTTCTGAATTCTTGGTTCTTTGACCAAGAGTCCAAGTGTCTTTGAATACTATGCTCTCGCATGTCTCCACATCAGAGTGGGTTCTTCTTGGTGTTCAAAATTAAACACACTGCTGTCTGAAATTTAATTTAGTGCATGGCACTTAACACTCTTCTATTATTTATGCCTCCTACTGTTCTGAAGTATTTGAATTGGTTTCACTACATAACATAAAGACTACAATTTAATTTATAGTGGAGGAAAAAAAAAAAAAAAACCTCTTCTACTCTGCTTGGTTGAGTGACTCAGGCCTATGAATCAAACTGATAAAAGCTGGAGAGTATGATTAAAACACAGATTTAATTATGTATGTATGCACAGGAGTTCACAAAAGAAATATGACTCAAGGAGATGGTAAGAATATGGGACTTATGCACCATCTTAACCATCTTAATGGACAAAATGTGTGCAAAGGTACTAGATCAGATTTCCTTTTTTCTTTTTGTAACAGATTGAATTCAGAGCCACATCCCCAGTCCTTTTTATTTTTTTATTTTGAGACAGGGCCTCTCTAAATTGCTAAGGCTGTCTTTGAACTTGTGATCCTCCTGCCTTAGGCTCCAGAGCCACTGGGATTACAGGCATGAGCCACTGTGCCTGGCTTAGATCAGATTTTCCTAACAAGTTGGTCAGGAGCTACTTTTCATTTTCCTGCAAGGATTAATATTACAATACTGTGGGAACTGCTACAGTTTAAGTTCAATATTTGTCATCATAAATAGGAGTGGTCAGGTAAAGCCATATGGTATGCAGAGTAAAGCCCAGAGAGTCTGAGAGAAATGCCGGCTTGGTTCTTTTCTCCACCTGGAGAACCTGCTAAGTGAGACGAAGTATTCACCCCTGATTTAGGACATGTATCACCTGATTCTGATCTCAGAATGACTGTTGGCATTCTTAGATTATATTTCCTTCCTTAATTATAATCTTAAAATATAAACAAAGCACTATAATTTGATGTTAGTAGGTTTAGGGGACAATCTTGAGAGACAAGGAAGGCAAACAACATGGAAAACCTTCTCTGTTCCTAGGGAGTTCTAGATACTGTATACATTGGATCTCAATTTTTATGACCATCTGAGGTAGAGCCCAGCTCAAAACATATAAAACCATACACCCAACCTCCACTTAGGTTTATCTCAAACATTGTCCTTTCACTTAACCATGTTATTTTCTCTCCCCCTCCACTTGGGTTCTTTAGCCCCAAGTGTGACACATGAAGAGCTATCTC